TGAGGCAATATCCAGCTGCCTATAGAAGGCCTCATCAACCTCCTCGTCTTGGTCAGGTGGCCTGTAGCAGACACCCACCACAGTGTCTCCCACATTAGCCTGCCCTCTAATCCTTACCCACAAGCTCTCAACTCGCTCATCCTCGACTCCCAGGTTGAGCTCCATGCATTCCAGTTGCTCTCTCACATAAAGAGCAACTCCACCACCTCGCCTTCCCAGCCTGTCCTTCCTAAAGAGCACATAGCCTTCCATGGCAGCGCTCCAGTCGTGCGAGCTATCCCACCACGTCTCTGTGATTCCAATGAGATCATGACGCTGGGACCGCACGCAGAGCTCCAATTCGTCCTGCTTTTTCGCCATGCTGCATGCGTTGGTGTACAGGCATTGCAGGGAAGTAACTGAGCCTGCAGGTTCCCCAGGAAGGGTGAAAGAGGACCCTCTGTGATCATCTCCTATCCTCACTTCCCCGCTGCCATACTCCCGCTGGACACCATCTGACCTTGGGTGCGTGGTACTGATTGCCCTGTCTGTGTGACACTCCCCTTCCCCGTTCTCACCTAGTTTAAAGCCCTCCTAACAAGGTTGGCAAAGAGACATGTGCCCCTCTTGCTGAGGGGGTTCCCATCATTCCCCGCTAGCTGGCGGTCATCAGAGTCCCATGGTCATAGAAGCAAAAACCCCATAAATGTGTAAGGATACTAAGAAATCTCTCATTTAGTCTTTATATGGATAATTAATTTCTTACTTCAATGGCCTGTCTCCAAACATAACTCCATTAAAGGCAAGGGCTCGAGGAACAGAATTCTGGTCTGCAAATTCCACAAAAGCAAATCGTGTTGGCTGGGTCTCATCACCTGCCATTCGCACAAATTTGACTTCTCCAACTTGCTTAAAAAATTCAAGCAGCTGATCTGCTGTTGTAGTCTAAAAGAAAGTCAAAAAGATCAGCTGAAATAAAATATATATTATCCAACATATCAGGTAATTTAAGAGCTACAGATTTTGAAAGAAGATTTCACCGTTATGACATAGGCAACATGAATTTAGTAAAACTATCCTTTAACACAGACAGATACTATTTTTTATTCCAGAAACCTAAAGAGTATACCATGATTTAAAATAATGCAACCACATGTCATAAAGTCCTATATTTAGTTTATAAACACACTTTCACAGGATTTTGTACTTTCCACACCCGAAGTAACTGATAAGGAGTTTCCTTGTGTACCTATATCAAAACTATTTCTTCTATTGATTGTGTTTTTGATCAGTACAATAATATACTGAAACGTTATTGCAAAGCTTTGCTTTTCTCAGTGGTTCTAATAGCTTCCAATTAGTTTTACCTTATTGGGATCCATAGCACTCTTAATACTCTACTAGCTTCTTCAACAGTCAAATCAACTCACAAAATCAAATATTTATATTGCTTTCAGTCAAGAGCAAAGAGTTTTTCAACTAACCCTTAAACAATAATGGCTGCCATATTAAAGCTTTCCTTTCGTAGAAATACATGGCTGCTTATGGTGGTTTTGATACTTTTATTATGAGAAATTGCTATCCTCCAGTAACAGCCAATTCCTTATACTTCACAAGATGAAATCCTTCTTACTGTGCTTAAACAATAGTAGAGGCGCGTGGGGGACAGCTACCATGATCGTGTGGCTTCTGAGATACTGCTCAGCTAACATTTCCCAGTTGGATGTTTGACCATCCCACACAATCATAAACATGTTTCTTCAATTCCCAGCTCCCTACTAGAGTTAATTCCACGGTCCTGTTTGAGCTGGCTGATGCAATAGCATTCAGAATACAAAATAACACCAACATGTTTTTGTTTCAGTTCCTATTGTCATCAACTAGAGAAAACAATCTTAACTCAAATTATAGTTCTTCATATTAGGTTCTACATTAATATCTCCAGTAGAGAGAGAGGGAAAAAAAAAAAAAAAAGCTACCTGTGAATTCAAGTTTCCAACATAGACTGTTCTCCTGATTTCATCAATTTTGGATGGGTCCACATTCCCCATAATTGGTGGCTGTGGTATTTCTCCCAGTGCCGTAATGTTAGGGTCCAATGCTGCTGCTGGTATAGCCCCCAAAGTGCCAAGTGAAACACCAAGCTAGAAAACATAAAAACAGTATTTTTTTCAAACGGGCATTGGTGGGAGATACTTCACTTGGTAATACTTGCCAGTCTTGGGTATTTCTGTAGAATCAATCTAATGAGCCTAGCCAATTCCTTAAACTGTAAGGCCCCAGTTATGAACTTTTACAAAAGAAATCTACCCATAACTAACTTTCTATACTAGGATTTTCTATATGCTATCAGCTACCACCTTATAAAAGAGGTTTGTCCAGGAATGCAGGATATCAGTTGAATAATCTGCATTCTGATTTCTAGTGCTAGCAGTCATCAACTTGAGTCAGATTCTTTCAAGCACTGCTAATATACTTATTTTTGCCACTAGAAGACTTATGAGTGAATGAGGAATACTGAGGACTGATTTAATTTTGGTTACAAACAATCTTGCCTTTGGACTGGTAAGAACAAGGAAGAAGCATGAAGAAAAAACACTATTAAAAATGCTATGGTCACTGGATATAGCCCATCACAAACATGCACACAAATCTAACCCAGCATATGAACATCTCTTCCTGGCCGACGATCAACAGAATCTTAAATCTTCCTGTAACTTAGAAGTAAAATCCACTACAATGTTTTGCAAGTACCACTGAACCAGAAGAGCCCCGTAGCAGATATGTAGCCTTCAAATTAAATTCTTTCAGCAGCGGAAGTTCCAGATACACATTTTCTTTCCCCAAATACATAAGACCAAGGAGGGGATGATCATCATTAAGTATCATCACAGCAGTGTATCCAATCATCTGATACAGGTCTCAGAGTAAACCTTCCTAACAAAGGTATCTTAGGAGTAGACAGTATGGGAAGCCTTGTCCAAATACACTATGTTATTGTTACAAGTCTTACACAAGTATCTGATGTTTCTAGTTCATTTTGTGGTTGCCGATTGGTCATTTAGAGCACCAGCATTTAAAATAATTAATTTGTCCTCACTATTGACAGATAAGTAATGAAAACAATTTTAAAGCTATACAATAAGCATAGATTGCTCACCACAGAGCAGCTTCCACTCACAAGCATAGTAAATTATTGTTTCTACTGAAAGGAAGTAAATCTAAAGGAAAAGGAAATAGTGGCTTGATGACAGGGTTAATTAATACTGTGTTGGACAGAAAGAGGTGATTTCAGGCATTTCCTCTGCCTTTTATCTGCTTGTGTTGACTACACTTACCCATAGTCCATCTGTCCAAGACGCCAATAGCTAGTACTTAGTGATGCAGCAGCAGAACCAGTTGTTCTTATTCAACCAAAGATGACATTTTATAAAGAAAGCTGAAGTTTGGATCCATGGAATTAACTACTGAGACTTTGTTTTTAAAACTTTCATCCATAGAACATGAAAATGTATTAGCATGATAGTGAATATATGCATATAACTAACTGCGGGCAGAGGAAGGGGAGAAGGGACTGTTTCTAACTGTTCTCTATCTTCCTAACATCTGAACAGATTGCCAGAAAGCAAAGAGTTGTTACAAAAAAAGTGCCACATGCTAAAGTAGCTAGAAAGCCTACTGAAGGAGGGCAGGGAGTGTTCATACGGGGCAGACCTTCTGCCTAATGAGCTGTATTTTACTGTATTTTCTATTAGTACACAAATGGATATTTTCAAGAGCATTAAGATGATTGGTACCTTTCCTTGGTGTTTCTTTCATATTTCTGCTTTGCAAAACATCAGGTAAATACTGCTCTTGGTTATGTCTATTTTAATTGTCCCTTCCTAGACCCATTGTGATCTATCCTTGCAAGAGAGGCCACAGCAGAGAGCTATAACACTCTCAGTGATTTAGCACATAAGACAACACCCATGGATTAGGTAGTTCACAATCTCTGAACACAGAAGAGGCTACTCAGCAGAGGAAGGCAGAAAGCAAGCAGTGACTAAATTTTACTTACTGTAGTCAGAGGAGTTGGTGTGGGTATAGGGAGCAACCCTGCACCAGGCATCAGACTCGTCATAGTAGGAGCAGGTGCCAACAGAGAAAGGGCTTTGGCTTCATCTGGGATTTTACCTGAAGAAGCAATTAAGAACATTATAGAGAGCTGGGACACTACACAGAAGTCACTCTTTCTATGACTTTATAGCTACCCTTGCATTTAAAAATGGTAATAAATAAGAATGAATCTATCTACCAGATCCTTACAAAGAAATAAATAAGAACTTAAGTTTTTCCTTTTACTCTGCTCTACTAGGAAAAACAAAAGTGAGCAAAACTTCAAAAACGAGCAATCTCTCATTAATGGATTACTATTTTAAAAACTGAATAATGTGGACAATTATTTAACACTTTGAGCTATGGGTCACCTGTACTGGAAACTTAATGTTCATGAACCAAACGATATCAAGCATGGACGCTTTCCCAGGACGGCGTTTTCCCGGTGATCGAAAGTTGTTTTACACATGACAACCGTTCGTGTTGGCTGCATCACTAATAGCACACAGAACATCAGATACAGAAAAGAAGAACATTTTTTAAAGTTTAATCCCCAGAAATGGCAAATAACCAAATCAGTAAAAAAAAAGAAAAAAAAAAAGAAAAAAAAAGAAAGAAAAAAAAAAGTAAGTGCTAATGGAAATCCGTGCTTTTTCCTTCTGTGATGCTACCTATTTTGATGTAAAAAAATAAAAATAAAATAAAAACTATTGTGACTCCACACAGTCTATAACATAAGTGAACTTGGGGAGGAGGGGAAGAGCAAAAAAAAATTTAGATCAGTACTGTGTTCCATTCAGGGTTATCTCAGTTTATACGAAATTTTGATAAATTAGCTGTCAAATTACTGAGATTGAAGAAAATCATAACTGATTAGCTAAGTAAGGGCTATTTTCCTAACATACATATTTTCTACTATTTCAATCACATTATACTCTCCCTGTCAAGTTAATAATCTAAGTAGTATCTAACCTGACCTAAATGTATGTTTCAAAGATAGTTACAATGATAGCTAAATTAACTAAACGCTGAACAAAAAACTGCAGAAAGAAATCCTATTTATGCTAGGTATATTAGATATCTAAGATATATTCAAAACTGCAGACATCATTACATATTCTACCTAATTGACCCTTTTGCACTTTGCTTATGTAAATCCTTTTATTTAAGCATGTTTTAAAAGTCAAAGAATCTACAAATACTATGCCTGTACCTTGTAGTGCTTTGATTCAAATAATGTGTTTTCACTACTAAACTCTAACCTCAGGAATTTAAAATGAATACGTTCTTATCAAAAAGCAACATATGAGATAAACTTCAAAGAATTGTACAAGTTTCACTAACCCCACACAGGAATCACACTACTTAAACAAAACAAAAACAAAGTGTTGCAAACCTGTTCTACAGATATGCATCCCAGGATTGTGTTACAGTTAGGTAAGCCCAAAGGACAAAATAGATGAAAATTAATTTAAATGTAACATGGATAGGATAGAAAAGATAAAATAACAGTACCAGCTTTTGTCTCATGACCTATTTATAGACCGCTATTTTAAATTTTGAGACACTTCGGTCATTAACATGTTACAAAACAAATCATTTGTTATCTAAGGAAAAAAATAGTAGTCATCAGCACTTAAGAATTAACTGTGCGATAAAGTCTTCCTTGGCTTTTCTTTAAACCATGCATGAGTGAGTCGCCAATACAGTATTCAGCACTGGGAGAGCTCTTCCCCGGCCTCATTTTGAAGAGAGCCATGCCACGGCAGCTATACCTGGTTTGCCTGAATGATTGCGAGAAATCAAGTACTTGGTGGAATATCCTGCCTATTGTGCAGCTAAGCAGGCTTCAGAATACACAATTACAATAACTGTGCATGCAAATTAGACATACAATTATATACTAGTTCTTCTGAAGATCAAAACACCTCAGTGTTTTTGAATGACTGATCACCAGACCCTTGTCAACCACACCATCTCCTGAACATGCAGCATCTTGCAATTAATTGGATGCTCATGCAAAATTCCACATGGTCAAGAGACATCTCGTTAGTAAATCCAAGGACGGAAATGGCTCCTCAAACAGTACAGCTATGCTATAATTTAAATGTATTCAATAATGTACATAAGCATATGCCTAATTTAAAGCATGCACTTACATAAAATTTGGTATGCACTTAGGCAGATGAACTCAAGAAATGCTTAAATGCCCTTGTAAATAGGAACTGAGTTAGGTATATAACTAAACAGACAATGAATCAAGTTCAGAAAGGTACTTAAACCCAAGCCAAAACTTTAACCAAATTTCGCTCAAGGAATTTGTTGAATATTTTCAGTTAAGTAAATTACCATGGCAGTTCAAAGATGAATAATATGCCTACTTAAATTATGAGTTGGTAAGGTAATTTCCAGAATACTCTCGTCTCTCAAAAACATAGTATTTTTATTAAAAAATGCCACAAAGATTGTTTATTTTATGCAAGATTGAGAAAGGGTCTACTTTTACAGACAGATGTGTTTGTTTATCTGCCAGTATTTTGGAGATGCTGTCTTTTCACAAGTTCCCTCTCTAGTTTTAAAGAGTTCAAGCATCTAACAACAATGCTAGCAGGAAAAAAAAAAGAGGGACAGAGGAAAGGTGGGGGGAAAAAAAAGAAAAAAGAAATATAACCTGCAAATTTACTCTTTAGATAGTTTCAAAATTAATTAATTAATATGTGAAACAAAACAGCCTCAAGAGTTATTACAAAACTTCAAGATCGTTTGTAACTCTCCATAAGCCTATTTTTAAAATGAACATAAGCTCACAAAAATACATAACAGAACATGTGAGTTAAGAGACAACAAATTAGGACATTACAGCTTTTTATTATACTGCAGCAGGATAACTGCTTTGTTTTCTTATCTAATATTATTTGTAAGTAGAATGGAAATCTCAAAGATACTTTTTTCTATTCGGGGGAAAACAGCCAAAATTAATACACTACATATATCACACCCTTAGAAATACTTCTTAAAGGTTTTTGAGTGTTTAGTTATGATATCGTGATAATTTATCCAACTTTTTGCTTTGTGAAAGATTCTGGAAGCAAATGTTAAGATTATCCATGCATTGCCTAGAAACATCTTATGCTTCTTAGCCATACATATACAGTTCTCCTAAATATAATTGTGTTTGTTAATTACTTTTATTTTTAAGTGGTTAGGAGTCCTAGTCAACTTGGTCCATATCACAATTCATTTCGCAAGATACTGTACAGAGAAAGTGTCTGTGCTAAGCAGACACTGCTTCCTACCATTTGTACTGAAACTACGTATTTAATTCCCTCCCTGCAATCTGCTTCAGCAATAAGCAAGTTTGCTCACTGGAAAAAAAAAAAAAAAAAAATCTGTTCCCATGTCCTTTAAGTATAATGGAAATAAGTGCTATCTTGCTTTTATTTTAAATCAATGTGGAATGCTCATATAGGAATTAAATGACTTCTGTGTGATCTAATTCATGATTCTTATTGGATTTAGCAGCAATGACTAAAAAGATTACAGCTACTGGCAATCACTCCTTCTACTGACACAGCTAAATCCAACAGAGATCATGAAGTAAAGCCTGTCCCAGCTGCAGCTGGCAGCCTGGTGCTCTGAAAATGAAACCAATTGGTCTTACTACACTTGGCTGGGAGAGGCTTGAGGAGCAGATACACACCCTAGTCCACCCCTTCCATCCCGGGGTGGCACGCCGTGGGACATGTAGGGATAATAATCTTTCACGTCACTCCATCATGAAATGCCAGGGTTTGTGAGAAAGATACCCAAGAAGATTGGAGGGGAGGAGGAAAAACACCACTGAAGCATGTGGAAGTGCAACACGTACACACATAGACACACATACACACATGGAGCATCAATTCAATCTTCCCACAAAATACAGTGTTTAAAGACAATGTGCCTCCCATAACACACTCCAATCAAAACCTCAGTCTGCATTTGTACTTAGGAGCAGTAAAGGGTTTTTCTAAAAGTTAGAGGATAAAAGGATAAAATCTTACTGCCACTGACCTCACTGGAGCAAGACTTTGCTGGAATTAATAATTTCTTGGTATCTACCATGTAAGAAGTTCACATTCAGAAATCATCGATTTAAATTTCTCAGATATAAATACAAAGCCTTCTTTTAAACAGGCAACTTCATTTTAAATGAAGCTACTCTGTTGGTAATAAGAAAGTGGCAGAGTAAGATTCATGCCTTTTTTCTTTTTTGATAAATTTCTCCAGCAGCTAAAGTTTAAACTGTCCTTTTCCAAAATAAACGCATAAAGTACAACATATGTAAAAAACACCTTGAAACTGGAATGTTTTTTCACTCTTTCACTCTTCTGGCATGGTCTGATGAACTTACATGCTTATATGTACTCCAAGTTTATCCCCAGTTCACCACATAAAATTTTGTTAATAATATTCTAAAATATCCACCATTCTATAATCATCTTCAGGTCAACTTCAAAATGAAGCACTCTGAACCCTTTACAAAACAGCATCTTTACAGAACTGAAGTACCAGTTCACAAGTACAAGGGAGAGAGATTTAACAAAACAAAACAATAAAGGGACAAAATTAAAAAAAAAAAAAAAAGAAAAAGAAAAACAAAAGGAAAGAAAGCAAAATAAAATAAAAACAGAGACAGGGCGTCCATCTTCAGCAGGCCAGACTTCGATCTCATTTCCCCCATGAAGGTTTCACTTGACGGCAGGTTTAGTGGCATGGCAAACAATGCCTAACTCAGGCAAGTGTAACAGGTCTGCCTTGGCCAGTCTAGTCATCTAATAATGCACAAATATCACACAGAGAAAACATACAAAACCAAATTAATAGTCAAAATCCATCTACCAGAAAATGTGGACATAAAGTTTAGAATGATGATTAGGGTGGCATCTTTGTTATTTTTCAACCTTTGCTTTCTCATATAACATTTAAAGAAAAAGTCATTGATACACAAAAAAGAAAAGTCACACTTTGACAGCATGAAAATGCAAACTTCATTTACAGTTATATTTTTGTTAAAGTGTCTGTGAGATGTCCCAAAATTAATATTCTTTTCATTGTGTAATGATTCCCTCCTCATACTCCCTGATATATCATTATTTAAGTACACTCTACGTTTCAGATTTTATTAAGGTTTCTAAACCCAAGTTTTCTGCATTCCACCTTACCTCTCCTTTATGTTCAATTTGACGCGTGAAACATTTCAGTACTGGCCCTGTTAGCCGGAACATAATTTAACCTCTCAGTAGATCACGGCCATTACGACTTTGAAAGCCTGTGATAAGCTCCACTAACCCCATTAACAATGTGTAGAGAATCAAAAATTTTGCAGTGTAGTCTACAACCACACAGTAAATTCCTCAGAAGATTAATCCCATGTGAATTCAGATCTTTACAAATTAAAATGAATGATTTTGTAAAAGTTATGTGGAAACAGCACTCTGACTTTAAAAAGAAACATTTGATCTCACAGCCCAAGCAATTGCTCACCTAATCATGCATAAACCTCTACATCATCTGGAACGATGTGGAACAGAACAACAATTTCTCTATAAAAAATTTCTCAGAAATTCCCACAAATGGGTTTGGAATGACAAGATTTCTCAGAATTTTAATTTTATTCTTCTTCCTGTCATTGTCTACTATCAAGAGACACAGGAAAATGCAGCTTTACCTGCCTGTTGCCATATCACGTCAGGCAGTGATCTCAGCACAAGAAAAACACCAGCAAGTGTTGTTCACTCATTAGGCAGCAATCTTCCCTCTCTGGCAGTTCTGAACCAGCGCTAAGGTCTTTTGGATGAAACATAAAACTAAGATCCTGAATCATTTATAGTCAATTACTTTAGGGCATTTTCTCAGTAATGAGGAGTTTGGTCAGATATATTTTGCCTACACAAATCACATTTCCAACTTTCAAGTGGATACAGCAATATCCTCTCTGTAGCTTATGAGTAAGTTTAAAAGATAAAACAAAAAGACCCCCAAACAGGGCATAAAACAACTAAAAATCTAGACAAAGGCAAAAACATGTGCCATATGCCCACGCTAATTAGGCTGTGAGAACAGACAATATATATAGGTCAATATAATCTTTAGTTAAAGCAGTTTTATGATCTATGAAGTTTTGGAAATGTGTCAGAGTTTGCCAGGAACAGATTATTATCACAGGGGCACTAACCTCATGCTACCCAGATCATGACATGGCAAATAGGCAAAAGACATTCCGGTGCACTATAAACAAACCTGACCAAGTTAACCGCATTTTTTGGGCCAAATCTGATTCTTGCAGTAAGAGCCGTGCTACTAACAGATTTTTTTCTCTAGTTGATTAATTGTTCCAGATATTGTTCTTTGGGGCAAAACAGCTTCCATGTTCAAAGCAGTTAGCTTCACTCCCTTGCTGTAACGTTTCCACTCCAAGGAACAAGCCCAGTTCCAAATGGGAAGACACTTAATTCCACAATGATCCCAATGAAGTCAATGGGGCTCTAGGTAACTCCAGCCACACCTGCCTTCACACACTTCAGCAATATTAAGTCTATACTGTACTCAGATCTTTGCAGGTATTATGTTAACAGTAGGTATTACTCTTGAATTCAATCCGGCTATAACAGTATAGCCTCAAAACTAGTTGAAAAAACACCTGCAAATTTAGTATTCATCAAATATTTTATCATGTCATAAATGCAAAAACATTTTACACTGGAAGCAATCTGAAAAATGCATTATTGCATTTTTCAAGAAGTACTCAAAAGGAGTACCAGTATATACACTAGAGAGACTCTTTATTGCACAAATTAGTATTTTCCACAGTAATAAGAAGGGAAAACTGAGTATTTTCTCTTAAACTAGCTGCTAAACGTATTACATTCAAACAGTAAGTATTGCCATGAATACGAAGTATTTTAAATCAGATAGAGCTAAAATGTCCAAATGCATACATTGCACACCTACACATGTGAGAAACTGCAATTCAGTCTAAAAAAACAGGAAAAAACTACCAACCAAAAGGAAAAAAAAAAAATACACATTAAGATCCAAAATGTCTCATCCTTCCAGTGCTCATTGACTTCAGTGAGAACTTTGTTTGGAAATAAGTTCCAGGTAAATCAAATCAAATGGAAAAACTTATACCCCTCTCCCCAAGCAGATGTATGATAATTATAAAAAATTGAATTATCCCAATTTAAATCCATTTTTCCTAATGATTAACTGTGATTAAATCTACATAATTAGTCTTTTTAATTCATTTTTCATTTTCATTTTATTTTTTTTCTCAAAAAGTAGCGAAATAAAATAACGACAGAGCAACACCTTACAGGGTGTAAGCTTAAAACAATTAGCAGACAGGACAAAGACCAACATTACAGAGAAACATTTGAAATACCAACCTTCTGCGCAGGGTACAACTATCAAAGCTCTGTCAATAAAAACCGTGTTAGTTAGATGCTGGGCCACACCAACACTCGATGCTTCACGAAACTTAATATAACATACTTTGGAGGAAAAAGCAAGAGGTGCGTTGCTGTAAGATAAAAGGAGAAAAACCAATTAGTCATATGCATGTGTTTTTAACCATTACTTAATAAAAACAACAAAAAAGAAAAACTTGTAGTCTTCTTGGAAAGGTAGCTGAAACACCCGAGTATATAAATTCACTAGTTCACTTGCTTATAGGTCATTAAAAATAAAAGCACAGCACCTTCTCCTTAATAAAAAATTGGAGAAGCCAGAAGCCCATGCAATACAATATCTATATCAGTGTATTCCATATTACTATAGTAGAACAAACCAAACTGCACCACACTTGTCGAATAAACAACTTATATTAACCTTTTCCTCTGCTGAAAAATCCTTGTTCAGAAAATTCAAACAGTAAACCTATTTTTCAGTGGGTCTTTAAGATATTTGCCTGTATTAACTGATACTTTTTTGTAGGTTTTCTTTCATAGAAGTTTTATAATTAAAACGAAACCTTAAGAATTCTTTCAAATGTTTGTCTTAACTCATGAGTGCACAAGTATTTTTTCTAATCATCTAGTCTAATCATTTAGCATAATCTGGTACAAAATGAGAAGGAAGTAGGTAAGCAGGAATTTAGTTACAATAGGGTAGAATAAGGAGGAAAATCACAAATATGTATTTTGGCTGCTTTGTTTTTCCATTAGAAAGTACACTAAAAAGAAAAAAAGAAAGCAATATAGTGTAATCTTGATCAAAAACAAACAAAAAGAGTTTAAGAAAATGTAATGCTTCCATAAGCCTGGACCAGGCTTATATTCTTTATATGGACAGATTATTTCTTCTTGTAAAGCAAGTAGCTACGACCTCTTCAGAGAGAGAAGAGTTAGGCACTCAAGCAGCACTCACCAAGTTCTATCAGAAAAGGCCACACTCCTTCTGACAAAGTGGTAAATAATAAAAAATATGCTGCATGAACTGTTTCACTCTGGTCCACCCTCAACTGAAACAGAAAAACACTCCTAAAATTCCTGGAAATACTAGAAGCAGTTCAAATTCAGCCCACAGGCTCCAGTGTCATCTCTCAAAACCCAAGCAGGTGCTCCCAAAGATGTCATACACAGCTAGGATTTAATATTTAAATATAAGCCTAAAAGGTTTAGATATGTTGTTTCATCATGTTAATCGAATAAGTGAACCAAGAATTTATAGACAGAGGAAGGTAGACTGGTAAGAAATTCCTGGAAAGCGAAGAGCCAGAGAGAACAGCTAGGAGAGCCAGTGAACTTCGGAACGACCATCAGAAACATTTAGGAGGGGTAATTCTGTGAAAAACTAGAGACATTTAGACAGAAAAATAGCAGATTGCAGGAGTCACAAGACCTTAACAGAATGTTCTCCTTAATCCTTTTAAAGATGTAACACAGAAACCAGATGTCTATGTTTCCTTAGCACACGTCTTTCCTATGTAACAGTCAATGCTTTCAAAAGGAACACATAAAGAGAATTTGCTTCTGAACTGCTAACTGCCCGAGTTGGAGCATTTTCCAACATGACAGCTGACAGAGATCTATGTCTTTCTCAGTCCTCCACACAACTGTTCACATAAAACTGAAAATATAAACAAATAATTCTGTGGTTTACTAGTTGCCGTGTCTCAAACAGAACTTTCAAAATTTTCACTTCCAAACTTTTCTCTTCCTGCACTCTGTACTAGAGCCAAAACATGTTCTGATATCCTATAATCCTGCGTATCCTGAAGACTTTTCTCAGTGAAAATATTTTATGGTCAAACAGAGACTTTGTTCTGTTTCCTTCCTGCCTCTACCATATATCTAACATCTCTAGATTTTTTTCTTCCTTTTGTTTTCAATTATTGCTCACTGAAAGATAATTCTCCTTTATAGACAAGACAGTTCATGTCCTATAAATATTCCTTATAAATTTCAACATCTGCAAAGATAACCATCAGCAGTGTATTTTTCACTATATTTTCCCAATATTTTTTTTGGATTTCAGTCACAAAAACTATTTGGGAAGTTCATTACAACCCACTGTAACATCAGAACACTGCTATAGCCATGCTCTAAAAGGACATCTTGTACCATGAAGTCAAAGTTTCTTAGGAAAGTTTTTGACAGCACTGCCCAAGAGCCTCAAAACCAGGACAGCAGACAGCTGCAGTATGTTAAAAGGCCCAAGATGCAGTATGATAAAAGACAAAAGATACTAGTGTCTTAAAGATCTGATAATAATCAAATATAAGCAACTTGAGTGAAATGAGTAGCTAACAATGAATATCCTTTCCCCACTTCCACCTAACTTGTGGTTGATCACTGATGCCATCACCATCCAAAGTTCATAAATAGGTGTTTTTACATCTAAAGTTTCAATGGGTATCTTTAAAACGATCAGAACAATGCATACATAATTCTACAGACCAAGTTAAATTGGAAATTTTCTTGTGAGGAACAAGAGGTACCAATAACAGGTATGTCTGATCCACTGAAAGATGATACGTGGCCGTGTTGCTTCAACAGAAAGAGATTCCTGTCAGCGCCAGCTAGCTAAAATCAGAACGATGACCATATGGAAACAATTTCTTTACTGCCAAGAATTTCCTGTGCCCTCAACACTGACTCTGAAGGTGGACTGCTCACAGTTTACACGGGCCTCTTCAGAAAATAATGGCAATAATAAAGAAGCATTTACTGTTATCTGCAATGTGAAAGCCTTTAATGCCCAAGAGGACAGCATCGGGTAGGAACTTCCCCATGAAGAACAATGCGTTTGGGAACATGGCAAGTGCTCCTTTTAAAGGCATGCCTGATAAGCAGTGACTGAAGACACTGAAGGAGATTTCATCAGACGAAAATAAAAACATGAAGTGACAAATTGTAAAAAAAAAGCATAGTGGAATTTAACTGATTCTTTTAAAAAAGGCGGTGAAGGGAGAGGTGAGGGAAGGCAAAAGGATCCTAATAGCTTTTGGGTAACACCTCTCTGCCTCTAAACATTTTGAATGCTTGTGAGAACTTTATTGGCAGGTTTAGATGACTGATCTCAAATAACATATGATGCAATGCATTCCTCACAATTTCCCTCTCTTTTCCTTTTATATTTTTCTTTAATATTCATTTACATTCTCTTTACTTTTAAAATAATATTATGTTACCTAAACTACTCTAATACCAATGCGCTATTTTATGAAATCTCCGAATTAACCTTTTAAAGAAATCACCAACTGAACTGAAAGTTCATATCCAATAAACAGTCCTGGCAATGGGATTATGAATGTTTCCATGAGCCTCGCAATTGGAATGCCCTGTTCTTTCAGAAGGCGATGGATACAGGAGAGGACTCAATTCTTCTGCAAAGTCATGCTCATGCTTAACTATAAGAAAAGTATTCTGTGCATATACCAAATATATGGCATGCAGAGAGAGGCAATCTAACAAGCTACAGTTCTACACAATGTGACATGTACATTTCTTTCAGCTAGCCACTTTACTTTTAAAATAGGTATAATAACTCCTTTAATACTACGCTCTGTATACACTACCACAATACTACTATTCTTGAAACAAGAACTGTTGACTTTAAATATTTTTAATCATGTTCTTCTGTATAAGAGGCCAGCCAAAGGGGCTCTAATGATGGTGAAAGTTTCTACTTATTTACACAATATAAATATTCAGAAATGACTGAAAACTACCATGTTGGTTTCCTCTTAAGCCTCAGAATAAAATCAATTAAAAAGACCATATAAATAAACTTATCACTCAGTAATCAATATCCATGAGACTTCAGTTTCACTAATTCACCTTATTTAATCATATTTTTCAGCCAAAAATCTGACTGCAAGGGAGAAATTCCCCCCTGTTCCATGGAAGGCACCAAATTCAAGTTGTGAAATATATCAAATGAGTTTACATTTCCTACAGAAATGCTTTTACAGATAAGACTGGAATCACAAAATAAATGTGTCAGGTGTTGGCTCAAAAATCAGATTTCCCTTTTAATTAAATTAATCCTTGAATCATTAAATGTTTACAAAAAAGTGAAGAAAAGGATTTTTAAATATGTTACATACATAATCTGGTATGCATTGTGAAAGTTACAAAATACACAAAATCTTTTTGCTTGTGACAATTTTGATACCAGTGTACTTGTCAAAGAATCACTATTTTCCCAATTTATCATAATATTAATAAAGTGTATTTTCAGAGAGTCAGCACGGAGTCTATTTTGTTTCAACACAGAGTTGGAAGAAATTCTTAGGTTTTCCAGAAGTACTAATTTCAAAATCAGATCAAATGTCCAGAACTACTGAGCAAAGGCACACATAATTCTAAAAATCATGCATAAAAAAATTTAAATACAGTTCACACAGTAATATCTATCCCCTACTATTTGTGAATATTAATTATTTAGGACCGATGTGCATCTTATTAAATATATTATCATAATATCTGTATTATATATGTATCTTTATGCTATATATTATTGTACCTCTCCAAGCTAAACCCTGCTTTAATACTGGATTTTAGTATTTTAATTTGTGTGTACAAAAGAAAGTAAATGTAAATATGACTTTCAAGAATACATCTGTTTTAAAATCTGTCATACAGACTAGCAAGAAAAAAGGACAGCAGTTATATCGACCAATATATTTAGGAGAAAACTTGAATGTATTGAGAGCGAAAGTGTAATAAGTACAAAGCAAAAAAAACAAAAACACTCTAAGCAAACACAGATCTACCAAAGGCCGTTTAAAACTTAAGACTAATTTATACCCATCTTTGCAGGAATGGTAACTTGCTACATATGCTGTGTATCCATACTAAATAAGCCTTTTTTTTTTTTTTTTTTTCCCCGGATGGTCCTCACCCTAACTATCCTTGCCCAAGCATAATCCACCAATCATACCAATATATAAAATAGGGAGATGTTTTTTTTCTGCCACTTAATTTTAGAAATAGAAATTCTCTTGCTCTCAACACGTTCTTTTGTACTAAGATGTCTGAACACGGATGACTTCCCCCACGCACTATCCTTATTGTATTTTCCTAGGAAAGTGGACAAATACTTCCAAAGAGCACGGTTGTCCCTTGAGGATCATATTCCAATGCGATGGATGGGTTGAGAAAAAAAGAAAACATCGGCCTCTAGAGCTGTCGGCCTCCCCAGTCCCTTTGGCCTCTGTCCATCTGTTCGACATTCACAAGAGCAGCCGCGGCCCAGCGGGACGATCGCGACCGTTACGAACCG